GAAATACTGTGTTAGCTATGGTTTACTATTAAAAAAAAATCCTGGTTAAAAGTTTTTTCTCTTTTTGAGATGGATTCTTGCTCTTGTCACCCAGGCTGGAGTGCAGTGACGTGATCTTGGCTCACTGCAACCTCCGCCTCCTGGGTTCAAGCAATTCTCCTGCCTCAGCCTCCTGAGTAGCTTTATCTCCAAAGTATGCCTGTATAAAGTTATTGATGCAAGACCATATTGTACCTTTTGTAATGGATTTTTCCAAATATATACACAAATACAAAGGACTATGTAAGTCCCGTGAATTCTTCCTCAATGATCCATTATTATTTATCATTGCATGGTGGTTTTTGACTTTTTTTTTTTTTTTTTTGAGACGGAATCTTGCTATGTCACCCAGGCCTGATCTTGGCTCACTGCAACCTCCGCCTCCTGGGTTCAAGCAATTCTCCTGCCTCAGCCTCCTGAGTAGCTGGGATTATAGGTGCCTGCCACCATACCTGGCTAATTTTTGTATTTTTAGTAAAGACAGGGTTTCACCATGTTGGCCAGGCCTCGTGATCTGCCCACCTTGGCCTCCCAAAGTGCTGGGATTACAGGCGTGAGCCACTGCTCCTGGCCAAAAATTTTTTGAGAAGGACGTCCCCAGGCCAGAAGAGGGTGCATCGTGGGCCGCTCTCAGGCCCCAGGGGCACACTGGCTTCCACTAATTCTGCCTGAGCAGCCCCGCCCAGCAGGAGCAGTAGAATGGCTGTGCCTTGGTCTCCCCGCCCTTTGGGGATTCCCTTATCTTCTTAGTGCCATGGCATCTACTGTTTTTCACCTTATCTACTGTAGGCAGCAGCTTTTACTATACTTGGATACTTAGGTCTCATTTACCCTCATAACACCTAGTGAATTAAGGATTATCACCCCATTTTGGGATGCAGAACCTGAAATTCTGAAGGAAGTGATGTGCCAGAGGTCACCCAGCTAGTAGGAGGCTGAACTGAGCTTGGAGCATTTCTCTCACCATCAGGCCCTAGTCCTCCACGCCCCTGCCCCACCCCTCCTCTCCTTTTGCTATGGTGTGAGACTACAAAGGCACTGACTGGTCTGGAAGTCAGGTGGCCTGAGTTCTAGTCCAGATTGTGCTACTTACTGTGTGACCCTGGACAAATCACTTTCCTTGTCAGAGCCTCGAATTCCTCATCTGTAGGAGGCACTGCTGATTTGTCTGCCCTCCCCACTCCAGAGGAGTTTGGAGGTCTCAAAGGTTATAAATGTGCTTTACAATGATACAGACGGTATCATGTCAGTTATTCTAAGCTTGTTTGATTAGTCATTCGTAAGTCATTATGGAATGGCATCATTGTCACTAATCAGGAAGAAACTTTCTCCCTCGACACTGTTCACTCCTCAGTCACCTACTGCCTGCACCTGGAAGAGGCCAGCCTCTCCGCTAGTCTTGGGTTCCAAGGTTTTGCCTGGCTGTGGGCTGGAGTTTTCTAGCAAACTGCTGGGAGAGGAAGCCAGCTCGAGGAATAAGGGAGCCTCTTGAGTTGACATAACTTTCTGAGCCCTGGCCCCAGACTGAGAATGTGTTGATTCTGGCTGCTGATGGGGTGGCCAGCTGGAGCAGCAGCGTTGGCTCCAAGATTGCAAACAAAACAGTGACTGCAGGGAGAAGTGTGACTGCCTTTAGCTTTCTCTGCTGCTAGTGTAAGCTCTCTTCTTGCTTTTCCCTTGGTAAAACCTTGACCTTTCACTTCCAACCCCCACTTTGCATGACAGGCCCCTGCTTCCCACTTAAGGGTTCTTGGCCCCTCACTTTTGAAATCTAACTAGTTTCTTTCTTGTTCATTCCACCTCCAAAATATCAAGACTATCCTGTTCTCTCAGCCCGGTGGCCACTGTCCTAGTTAAGTATACCTCTGTCTTTTCCTTGCCCGATTAAAACTGCCTCTTTACTGACCTCTTGGCCTCGTGTCTGGCACCCACCAATCCATCTACGCAGGCTACCAGGGTGACTTTCCTTTATAAAAAAGACCTGACCTTGTCACATCCCTGCTTAATAACTTCTGGAAACTCCTTATTCTTGACACTTAAGGCCTTTATGCCCTGCCTCCTACCTCCTCTCCTGTCTCGGCCCATACTCCAGCCACAGTCTTCTTCCTAGGCTGACTTTCAAGTCTCCAGTGCTTGTCTGTGCTGTTCCTTCTACCTGGAATGTCTTGCCCTTCCTCCTCCACCTCCACTTTGTGATACTTCAAGGCTCAACTCAAATGCTGCCTCTTGGCTGGGTTTGGTGGCTCACACCTGTAATCCCAGCGCTTTGGGAGGCCGAGGCGGGCAGATCACTTGAGGTCAGGAGTTTGAGACTAGCCTGACCAACATGGCAAAACTCCATCTCTACTAAAAATACAAAAATTAGCTGGGTGTGGTGGCAGGCACCTGAAACCCCAACTATTTGGGAGGCTGAGGCAGGAGAATTGCTTGAACCTGGGAGGCAGAGATTGCAGTGAGCCAAGATCATACCACTGTATTCCAGCCTAGGCGATGGAGGAGACTCTGTCTAAAAAAAAAAAAAAAAAAAATGCTACCTCTTGTGAAACCATTCCTGGCCTGTTTCCAAATAGGTTTAGTTACTGCCCACCCCCAGCCTTCTTACAACGTGGTCACTATTTCTATCACTGTCTTTCTAGACAATGAGTTCATTTTAAGAATATCATTATTTACCTCTGTCTACAAAGTCCATTGGATGCCTGGCACATATTGGGTGTTTGGGTTTGCTTAATAAGCAAATGCTCCTAACAGTATGTTAAGAGCGTGGGGCTACAAAGTCATGCCCCATTCCCTTCATGCCTTTGTCTTGAGTCCTCCCAGTCTCAAGATTCTGTCTCTCCCCCATCAGATCTATGTCTGCCTCCAAAATGTGCCTATCCTCCTTTTTTGGGAAGGAGTTTCCCTTGGACATTCACTAGTGTGTGTGTGACAGAGGGACTTTGGTTTGTCCCAAACATGCTCCTTCTTTGTGGCAATCCTTCATTCAAGGATCCTGGGGTATCCTTCTTTATTCCCTTCCTGAGTTCATACATGCTGATCTCTAGGCTCTGCAAGGACACTGTTATGGCCAACACATAGTAGGTGCTCATTAAAGCCATGTTAAGTGAATACATGAATGGTCCCTTCTCTACTGGGGTGTGATGGAATGCTCAGTAGACTTGGAATCAGAAGACAAAGATGCTGCCACTCGGGCTGTGGCTGTGGACAAGCCATTTCATCTTTGAGCTTTTGCTTTCTTGCCTTTAAATTGGGGATAATGCCTGTACTTCACAAGGATGCAAAGGATGAATGGAGATGAAAGGGCCTAGAACACAACCAACCACAAAGCTCATGAGCATTTCATTCATTCTCAGCCTCCTCCATCAAGTGTAGAGGGTTCATCTCCATGGTCATCCTCCTCCTGCTCTTTTAAGTCAGGTATCTGGGCCAAAATGACTTCTGCCCAGGGTCCCTTGTAGCATCCAGGAGCAGCATGATGTGGAAGCAAGCCAGCTTTGAATTCTGACAGTCACTTCCAAGCTGTAGGAATTTGGACCTGTCTGCCTACCTGTAAAAGGAATGTAACAGCACCTACCTCATAGAGTTGCTGTGAAGATTAAATGAGATGTATGTCAAGTGAATTAGATGACACTCAAAATTTGGTAACCATTATGACTTTCACCTGATGAACCTGGGTGCCCCTGAAAACCACACAGGTAATCATGCTGCCCTCTTGTGGACAAGAGGGCACATAGCCCAGCAAAGGCACCCGCAAAGGGTTCCAGTGAGAGAAATCAAACCACCCATAAGGAACTTCTCTCCTCTACTAGGGAGCTCATGAATTACCCTGAAATATTTCGTCATCAACTAAATCAGACATTTTCAGACACTGATGCACTTGTTAAAATGCAGATGAGTTCTGATTCAATAGGTCTGAGATGGGGACACAGTTCTCTAACAAGCTTCCAGGAGATACTGAGGCTACTGGCCCACAGACTGCCCTGAATAAAGTTGCTAACTATAATAATGTAACAATGTCATAACAGGAACTACTTATTAAGTGTCTACCATGTGCCAGTTACTGAGAAAGCCAGTTAACCTAGTTTAACTTGTATAATCCTCAAGACTCTGTGGGGTAGATACTGTTTATCTCCATTTTTCAGATGAGTAAACTACAGCACAGAGAGAAAGTTTGCTGCCACACCACACAGTGTAAGGGGTGGACCTTGGGTTCTAATTTAGCCACCCTGGCCCCAGAGCCTACTAGGAAGACGCCTCTGACAATGTGTGGCGGACCACCTGGGGAGGAGGAGGGCAGCAAAGGTACTGAAGTGATCGAGGTGAGAGATGAGGAGGCCTAAGCTAGGGCACTGACTATGGGATGGAAAAGAGGGGACACGGAAAAGAGAATGAACAGGATTTGGTGGGAGACCTGAGGTAGGTGTAAGAGAAGGCATTCACTGTGGGTATCTGGTTTGGACAACTGGAGAGACGGTGGTACCTATCACTTACTGAGCCAGGAAACACTGGAGGAAGAACAAGTTTCATGGGGAGCAAGTTTCAGGGGGAAGGTGGATTCAGCTTTAGAAATAGTCAATATGAAGTGGCTTTTGGTCATCTGGGAGAGACAGGAGGAGGTACCTGGTTCTAACTGTTCAGAGTTCAGGAAATGATTTGGGTTGTGGATAAAGTTTCACATAAGTGAAGCTATGGTGACTGAGATCACGTGGATAGCGCACAGATTGCCCTGCTCTGGACCAAAGTCGACACAGTCAATAATGAGGAGCGATGGGACTGGAATTCCATCCTGGCTGCAGAGGAGGGTGGCTCTGACCATCCCACTGGGCATTCTGGATCTGGGACAGGCAGAACATATTGAAGGGCTATAGGGAAAGGGGTTTCTGGAGTTCCGTAAGTCCGATGAGCTGTCCCCTGCCCCCATATCAGCAGAAATAAGGACAATTCAGAGAGAAAGACCAGACCAATAAAGGTTGGGAGATATTTATTTTCTTTAAACAAGGTCATAAATAACAAAAAACGAAGTAGGTCCCAGACTCCGGACCATGCAGCAGGACAGGGGTGAGAGATTGTTGAGTGGAAAGATGGAGGGGGCTACACATCACCTAAGACAGTCACAGAGAAGATGGGCTTCAGGACACTGCTCCTTCCTGCCCTTGGAAATGGCGTGCCTGGGCAATAGGGACAGGCCGCAGTGCTGTCGAGGCAGCTGGAAGAAGGCAAAGACTGGGGATGCCAGGCTGTAACGCTTCTATGTGGAGTGACGTGAAATCCACAAATGGCAAAGAGAAGCTGTAGGTTTGAAGAGGCAAGAGGGCACTGCACACCTCCAGGAACCAGCTATGAACATAGTGAAATTTGATGATTAAAAACAATTCCATAGGCTTTGGCCTGTGGCTTTGTGCATGGGCTGTATTTAACCTGGGTTGCTGTGTGGCAGGTGAGGGCTCAAGAGGCCCCTGGAGCAGCCTGGCCTCAGCCCAGGGCAGGTGCCCAGACATGTGGAGTGGGACAGTGGGCTCTCCCAGATGGGAGGCCATGTGCTTGGACTGGCTGGACCTGATTTTCAGGCTGGTTTCTTGTGATGCTACCCACCACCACCCCTCCCGGTGCCTAAGGATGGGATTTTGGCCTCTCTGGGTCTTCCAAACCTGGAAGAGTATGACTAGGATAAAATGGTACCTGACTAGTGTTTTATTTGAAAGGGAAAAATAAGGACCACCCCATACATTGTCCATCACATGAGGCAGGGTTGGACCATGCCAAGACAATCTCAAGGAATGGAGGTCCCTGAGCCTGGGAAGACATTTGGACTCAGGTGTATCGCCTGACGCTAGGAAGAGGGGCTCAGTATGGCAAATCTGGAGGCTTTACCCTAGGCAACGCAGGGAGAGCAGGCAGGAGATACCCCAGTACAGGGAAGGGAAAGGAGCAGGGGAGCCTTGGACTGGGGAAGCCAAAGTTGGTCAAGGACCCTGGAAAACAATGCTTTTGGCAGAATACATGAAAAGGTTGGTACATCTCGGGGTGCCCGTCTACAGGGAGCCAGTGTCACATGGCCAGGCGGGACGGGGAGGAGGAGACAGTGGCATCACAGTGGCCTCTGGTGCGACGTATTTACAACAGAGCTCAATGTTGAGGAGGGGTGGACAGCAGGTCACTAACAGCCAGGAAACACACTGTGGAAGAACAGAAAGAGAAAGAAAAACAAATGTAACTATCAATAGCTTTCCCTTGCTTATCTGTGTCCTCCAGGAAGCCCGGCCTAATGACCACCAAAGCAAATCTGACCCATGTCATAGCCCGGACCAAAGCTGGACCCAGGGTCTGCTCTCAGTGTGCTGCTCATTTGTCCAAGGCTCCAAATGGTCGAAGGGCCCCAGACAAACACTGTTCAGTAGAGAAATTAGGTCTTTATTGTTGGTTCCTGGGATCCATCAATGGTCAGTTGTTAGAGGGATGGCTCAGCACAAGGGTGTCGGTTCTGTGGTTTACTGTCCCAGGGTCTCGCCATCATCTCCAGTGCTTACCCTGCCCTGTTACTCTCATCTCCCAGGCCCTGGAATTCAGAGTTCTCTAAGGCAGAAGTCATTTCCTTTTCTTAATATTTCTTCTTCAAACTTTCTGAGAGTGGGGAACAAGTTCCCCCGAACCCTCACCAAAATCAGAGAAGAGACTTTTCAATGGTAGGAATGACTCCTCATCAGGGTTGTGGGTTCTCTGAGGATCAAAAGCCTTCTGCAGTACAGACTAGGAGCTGGCTGAGGTGGGTCAAGACAACCTGGTTTGGGGTCAACATGCCTCTCTTCTTCTTCCTCAACAGAGCCCAACTGTGTTTCCTTAAACAGATGAAGCGCTTCCTAGGATGAGCGGCCTGGCCCTGTTTCTTCCTCTAGACCAATAGAGGGGGAAACTTTGCCTCCCTTGAGGCATTTGGTAAAATCTGGAGACATTTCTGTTTGTCAGAACTGTGTGTGGGAGGGGTACTACTGTTATCGGGTGGATAAAAGCCAGGGATACTGCTAAACATCCCACAACGCACAGGACAGCCCCCACAATGAAGAATTATCCACCTCAAAATGTCAATAGCGCTGAGGTTGAAAACCCTGCTCTAGAGCTTCCAGGATCACCTCTGCAGAGTGGCTAATATTCTGCCAGCTTCAGAAAAGGAGGGGAAGCAAGCATGGCAGAGCACCCATTCCATTCCCAGCTTGCTTAGTAGCTGGCCATGGGAAGACACTCTGCAACACTGTAGAAAACCCTGCTCTAGGCCAGGCGCGGTGGCTTGTGCCTATCTATAATCCTAACACTTTAAGAGGCCGATGTGGGTGGATCACTTGAGGCTAGGAGTTCAAGATCAGCCTGGCCAACATGGAGAAACCCCATCTTTACTAAAAAAAAAAACCAAAAAACAAAAAACAAACAAAACAAAAATTAGCTGGGCATGGTGGCGCATGCCTGTGATCCCAGCTACTTGCGAGGCTGAGGCACTAGGATCACTTCAGCGCAGGTGGCGGAGGTTGCAGTGAGCCAAGACTGTACCAAGGAAACAAAAAAAAAAAAAAAAAAAAAAAAAAAAAAGCCCTGCTCCATGGCCTGCCCAGCTTTCCCTGGCAGCAGGGCAGGAGAAGCCAAAGAAAACTTCTCTAGGAGCCTGGAAATGGACTGATTCCTATCCCAGCCTCCTCAAAGGGGCACCTCAACAAGAAATGCACATCATAGTGGGGGCTGAGACTAGGCACAATTTAATCACAGCCTCAGCATCAACCCACTGGAGCACAGCACAAAGAAACAACCCACCATGGCTTGGTAGAAACAGACATGCCAGGCTCTTCACTGAGGAAGAGGAAGAAAGGCATGGTGACCAAACCAGGCAGGGGTAAGGCAGAGGTATTTATAGTCCTGCAAATATCTGTTTGTCAGAGTTGGCCAGCACTGCTGGGGTTCTTAAACCCTTGTACCCGCCTTACCACTGGAATCCACCGATGGGTTCTGCAAACCTGTGCCGGATCAGGAAAGTGGCAACAGCTTCAGCTACCTGGAAAAGGGAGAGATATTCCAGGCCATATGAAGGTTACTGATGGGACTTAGCCTTGGGCTGTGGGCTACTGTTAGACGGTTAGGCTCTACAGTGCCCTCATCCCACCCACAGGTCTGAGCGGCTTGAAATTAAAAGGACCTAGGCCCTCCCTAGCAGAGCTAGGAGACTCTTCCCCACCATCCTTGCCAGGGATAGCTCCAAAGAGCTCAAGAGGAATGACGTGAAGGGCTTATTTGTGCCCTTAGAGTTACAAAACAGTGTTTTCCCACAGGAGGAGTCCATATTAATTCCTAACCTTGCCTGTGGTTTAGGGAGCAGTTTCTACCCTAATCATCCCTCTTCCATCTGGCTTTTGGGGGTATTGGAGAAGTAGAGCTGAAGATCTTAACCACAGGGCCCTGGGATGAAACAGCAGGGTGTCAGTGGCTCCTCAGCACATATACACAAAGCCAATACCATAAGCAGCTGCCAGGGAGAAGTTGGAGAGCTGGTGGAATTGCATCTGCATAGGCTCCACAGCAGCTGCTGCAGGCAATGCAGGCTGAGACTCAGAGACTTGTCTTCTGTGACATCCAGGGTTATTCTCACAGTTGTCCTTTTATAGTCATTGAACACCAGACTCACCTTGTCAGGGGCATCCTCATGGACTGCATGGCCACACTGAGGTAGGACCTGCATCTGGAACTTCCCTGGAGAGGAATCAAAGCAAGGCAACTTCAGGGACTAAAAGAGCCCTGTCTTATGCAGCCTCATAGGTCACTCCAGGAGCCCAGGACCTACCTCCCCATTTCCAACCTCACCTCAACACTCTGGACCCAATTATCAAGTCTTGCTGAGGATGGTAATACAAGTAATTATAACCTTGTGCCAATCATTTCCCTTCACTTTCTCCTTCTGTCCTATTTAGTGTACATTTACTCTGGGCCAGAGACACATAGAAGAAACAGTTCTTGTCCTCAGGGGATTTACAATCCAGTAGGGGAGTAAAACACAACAACCAACATTTTAATGCAGCATGTCATTCCTATGATGAAACTGGGCACGTGGGGCTGTAAGGGCATAAGAAAGGGAACTTCACAATCCAAGAGGGACCCAGGAAGGAAAAAAGGCTTGAAATGGCTTGGAATAAAAGAAGCTTGGCATGGTGCTTATGAGAGTGGTTAACAATAAGGCTGGAGAGGTAAGCAGGGGCCAAACCATTAAGGATTTTGTCAGCTATGTTAAGGATTCAAAATGTATTATTACAATAAGTTACCATTTGAGCACTTAAGCATGTGCCAGGCATTGTACTAAGCACCTTCTCATATTGTCTCACAGAACACTGTAAGCTCATAGGTAATGCGACAGTGATTGAGAATGAACAGCGATGACTGATAAAGAAGATCCCTAAGGAGACCCAGAGCCCCCATAAGTAGAGACAGCAGATTTTCTCAGCCTCAGATTATCTATTTATAAAATAAAGGAATGGGATTGAAAGTTCTTCTGGTCATTACATCCTGTGGTTCTTACCCCAGTTACATAGGATTCAAAAAGTTTTCAGTGTACTCTTCTATCCATTTTTAAAGTCGATTCTTAAAATCTACTCTATAAAATTATGCACGAAAATACTGAAATTCTTTTTTGAGATGATGAAACTGAGGCCAAAGTTAGTGAAGTGACCTGCCCAAGGCCACTTCGTTAATCAGTGGAGGAATAAGACGATCCCAATTAGTAAAGTCCAGCTTGTGCCCCTCCTCCTGCAGTAAGCTGCCTCTCTCTGGGTGCTCGAGCCTAGTCAACTCTCCCACCTAGCTCCTAAAGTACTGTTGTTAATGCACTTGGATCCAAACACAAAGCAGCACATGGCCCTCTTATAAGTTTCAAGTAAGTTTACATTTTACATGCCACTGGTGCTTGCCTCCCCAGGAGTGTGTTATTTCCATAAGAACAGGGGACGATGGTGTTATTACTTGCTCTATATCCCTAATAAGAACTAACACAGGGTTGGGCACTGAGTAGATGCTTAAATCTTTAGCGAATGAATGATGAACAAATGCCTAGATCCAAAACTTACAACTCCTATCTCCCTGTTGTTTCTGTTAGATCAGCTCTGATGACTAGGGATGCATTTGTCCTTCCTCTTTGGAGGAGTCGGTATAATCAGGGAGAACTCACATACACCAACAACACTGTGCCAGGTACACATAAAATAACACGCTCATGGGTAATCCTCACAATTATTCTATGATGTGGGAATATTTCCAAGTTCTTCTCTCCCATTGCACTGATTAGGAGCCTTAGGTTCAGACAGCCTAAATTATTTACCCAAGTTGTACTATGAATAGGTGGTAGTTTTCCAAGATTTCATAACTAAGTCAGCTGGTTTGAACACAGTGCTGGGAAAGCTGTGGTTTGGAATCTATGCAGCCTTAACCATTTCCTTTTGTTTTGTGGAACGTTCCTTATCCTCGCCATTTACTCTATACTCATAGGAGGCTTTCTTTAAACCAGAACGTGGTCTTGATATAATCTATACTGAGGAAACAGGAGGACATCTCGTAAGGAATCATGATTACTTCCTGAATATAATGAAAGGCATCATTTGTTAACTACCTGCATTTTTTCCATTTAAACTTCATGTAACTGTACTGAGATATATCATTATCTCCATTTTATACATGAAAAAACTCAAAATTAAAGAAGTTAGAAATTCACTCATACCGCAAAACTATTAACAGTGATTCAAACCCAGGATTGTCTGACTCCAAGGCTGGTGATCAACAATGACTTCAAATGCTATCCCAGTCCATGTCAACTGCCTTCAGGCAGTCTCAGGGGCCATGTCTGATTCTTCTGTCTGCCCAGCATCATGCACAGGTCTTGCACAGAAAGGGTGCCTAGGAAAGGTTTTCTGAATTGAATTTAAGTGTCTTAGATTCAATTTCATGGTACTGATGTTGGTCATTATGGGCTTAGACGTTTATAAGAATCTACTTAAATAAGTGTCTAAGCCCATAATGACCAACATCAGTGCCACGAAAAAAAATCACACAGTCCCAGCTCATGGTCCTGTTCCAGGCCTCAGGATACAATGTGGTTAAAGGAAGGCAAAGCCATGAAGGTCTGGGACCAGAGTTTTATATTCAAGAGGCTTTGAACAACTATTATGAAGGAATATAGCTCCTTTTGCTGTGGAAAGCTTGAAGATAGCTAAAAGAACAGTTTGAGAGGCCCATGAGACATCCAGCAGTTTTGCTACATGGGCTAGGACTGGACCTCAGGAGAGAGGGATGAGGTGGATGTTTAACTTTGGGAGTCATCAAGGTACAAATGGAAGCCATGAAATTGTCCAGGGAGAGTAAGTAGGGAAGAAAGGTCTAGAACAGATTCTGCCTGAGCCTGAAACTTTGGTCTTGGAGTTGGCACCTCTTCTTCCCATAACCCAAAAGTTGCATGCCTACTGACTTCACCTTCACTGAGTCTTTTACCTGTACTAAAGCAAGAGCCCCCACAAAATTGGACCCGCTGCCTCCACTGTCATCTAGCTAACATACATGCATCTGTACACAGTGCTCAGCATGTCACTTTTCTACTCATTATACCTCATGATCCGTTTGAGGCTGCCATCAGTTTTTTCATTTTACAGATTAAGAAGACTAAAGCTGAGGCAAGTCAGAAAACTTGGCCAGAGTCAAAAAATTACTGGAAAAGCAGTATTCAAAATTCAGTTTTCTGAACTTCAGAGACTTTACTTTTACCATCTTACCATGCTGTCTTCTAAACAGGTATTTATATCTTTTAATATCTGGATTATCTTGAGCCTTTCCCTTTCCTAAAAATTCTAACAATAATAAAAATACTGGTCAGCTGCAGTGGCTCACACCTGTAATCTCAGCACTCTGGGAGGCCAAGGCAGGCAGATCACTTGAAGTCAGGAGCTTGAGACCAGCCTGGCCAAAATGGTGAAACTCCATCTCTACTAAAAATACAAAAATTAGCCACGTGTGGTGGTGCATGCCTGTAATCCCACTACTGGGGTGGCTGAGGCAGCAGAACTGCTTGAACCTGGGAGGCAGAAGTTGCAGTGAGCCAAGATTGGGCCACTGCACTCCACCCTGGGCAACAGAGTAAGACTCCAAAAAAAAAAAAAAAAACCCACAAACAAAAAACTCATCAGAAGTCAGAACATCTCTTTTCACAGTATCATACACCTATACAGTACTTTATAATTTTAAAACACATTGCCTCATTTTAACTCTTATAACTGAAACATAGGTAGTATTACAATCTTCATTTTTGGATGGATTTTTTTTTTTTAAACAAATTAAAGCTCAGGAAAGGGAAATAACTTGCCCATAATCATATAGTGTGTCAGGAGTAGAGGCAGATGTTCAACTTGGATTGGACTCTAAAGTTCAGGCTTTCTCGGTTATACTTCACTATCTCAGGATGTTAATTGCCCTATCACCCTTTCTTCAGAAAAGGGTCCAGGGGCATAATTTCTTGATAACTTACCTTGCATCTGGCCAATGGTTAGATCTTTATCCAATCTATCAACACCTAGAAAACAAGAGAATTCATTGTGAAATAGATTTTGCTGTTCAAGTACTAAGTAAAAAGTGTTACAAAGTTGTAAACATGATAACATTCTCAATTTATGTTTATACCAATCCTAACTCCCAGAGATATTCTCACCACCAGATGAAACTTTTCAGGTTGAGATTCCCCTAAAATCACTATGTTAAACTGGTTCTGAAAACAGGGTTTTACTATTTTAATTCTCATAATACTCAGAATATCCTTATACCACTGTATCTAGCTCTAGGCTAAGAAGGACTTGAGCTTGACCAAGTAGACAGGCCAGGCCAGAATTAGGTCATCCTAACGCTTAGATGAATGCCTATGCTAGTTAGGTTTAGAGACTGGGTGTAGGGAGGAGAAAAGGCATAGATGAATGAGGAAGGTATTCTACTTTGGATGTCACTACTCATTTGGTGAGAAGTTTTAATGAGGTCATATTGAGATGACAATATACCAACACTGCTATGGACTGAGTTGTGTCCCCCTAAAACTCATGTTGAAGCCCCAATTCCCAATGTGACTGTATTTGGAACTAGGGCATATAAGGACGTAACAAAGGTTAAATAAGGTCATGAGGGCAGAGCTCTGACATGATAGGATGAACGTCCCTAATTAACGTCCTTAAGAGAAGAGACACCAGAGAGCTCACGTTCACTCTTTCTTGGCCATGTGAGGGCACAGAGAGAAGGCAAGCCAGGAAGAGAGCCCTCACCACAACCTGACCATGCTGGCACCCTGATCTCAGACTTCCAGCCTCCAGAACTGTGAGAAAATAAATTTCTGTTGTTTAAGCCACCCAGTCTATGGTATTTGGTTATGGCAGCCTGAGCTGACTAATACATGCACATATACACTTACCAGCCAAGAGCAGCAATTTAGGAATGGGACAACTAAGAAAGAGATTGGATAAGCCTCGGAACCAGCCATCCCAGTATTTTTCTGTTTTTGCCAGTTCAATTCTCCAGGTGTATGGATGGTCTTTCTTGGTCTGGAGGAATAAGAGCAAGTTCTGAGTCTCCGAGGGCAAGCCCTGGAGGAACAGGATTAAAAACTAGATCCCTGGGAAAAGGAAAGGGAAGGAAACTAGCACTTATTAAGGACCTACTGAGTCCCAGATATTTTCATATACATTCAGTCCTTCTAACAGTCTTGTTGTATGGGCCACTGTAATATTCATTTTAAGATAATTACAAGTTTACTTTTTATTGCTATTAGTTTCTGTAAGTTTAGGAAACTTTCTTAAGATCACAAAGCTAGTAAGTGGTAGTGCGAAGATTAAGCCTTTCTCATACTTGGTTGGCAAAAAGGATGTTTTTCATCAAAATAATAACTACAAAGAACATATTGCAGTATGAAAAAATGTTTATAATACAAGCAAGAAACAGATTACAACATGTCATCGAAGTTAGGATTAGTACTGGAAAAATGTGGTATACTTATAGTAAAGTACGAAAAAGGAAAACTGAAAATAGGTTGATTTGTTAGTACAGCATTTTTTCTTATATTTTATGATAATGATATAATGTTCCTGCAATAGTAATTTTGAAAGGAAATATGAGACAAATATGACAAAATGTCAACATTTATTAAATCTTTATAGTAGATAAGTACAGAGTATGCAGTCAAATATTGGCTAAAAAAATAATTCTCTATAGTTTTCTATACCATTGAAATATTTGAAACATTATAATTGAAATAAATATACTGAATCAACCACAATATGAAAATCTAAAAGTGAACACGAGATAGTAACATATTACGTTAAAGATCACTGGATGCTTAAGATGTCCATACTACCCAACGTAATCTACAGATTGAACATAATCTCTATCAAAATTCCAATGGCCTTTTTTTAAGGAAATAGAAACAAATCATCTTAAAATTCATATGGAATCTCATGAGACACTGACTAGCTAAAAGAATTTTGAAGAAGAACAAAATTGGAGAACTCACACTCCCCAAGTACAAAGCTGCAGTAATTGAAACAACTTGGTACTGGCATAAAGACAAATAGACCAGTGGAACAGAATACAGAGCCCGCCCAAAAATAAACCTTCACATAAATGGTCAGATGATTTTTGACAAGAGTGCCAAGACCACTCAGTGAGGAAAGAATAGTCTCTTCAACAAACAGTACTGGGATAACCAAACAGATATGCATATTCCAAAGAATGAAGCTGGGGCCTTATTCCCCAGCTTCATTAAAGACCTAGTAAGACTAAGATTAAAGACCTAGTAAGTCTAGTAAGACTAAAACATAACACTCCTAGAAGAAAACATGGAGGAAAAGCTGGATACTAGACTTGGCAATGATTTCTCGGATATGACACCAAAAAGCAGTGAACAAAGGCAAAAATAGACAAATGGTACTATGTGTATGGAATGGGAGAAAATCTTTGCAAATCATATATCTCATAATGGATTAATATTCAGAATATATAAAGGACGCCTACAATTCAGCAACTAAAAACATCGAGTAACCTCATTAAAAAATGGTCAAAGGGCTTGAATAGACATTTCTCTAGAGGTGATACAGAAGTGGCCAATAAGCATATGAAACGATGCTTAACATTACTAATCAATAAATAAATGCACATCAACACCACAATGAGAAACCATCTCACCCCCATTAGGATGACTACTATCAAAAAAGAGAAAAATAAGTGTTGGTGAGGATGCAGAGAATTTGGAACCCTTGTGTACTGAGTTGTAAAATGGTTCAACCAATAAGAAAAACATTAAGGCAGTTCCTCAAAATATTAAAAATAGAACTACTACATGATGCAGGAATCCCACTTCTGGGTACATATCCAAAGAATTGAAAACAGAATCTCAAAGAGGTATCTGCAAACCCATGTTCATAGCAGCACTATGGATAACAGCCAAGAGGTGGAAGCCACTCAAATGGCCACTGATGTACGAATGAATAAACGAAATGTGGTATATACATATATAAGTCAGTTCAGAAAAAGGAAGAAATGCTATCACAAGCCGCACAGGGACTGAACTTTGAGGACATTATGCAAAGTGACATAAGCCAGTCACAAAAAGACATATATGATCCCACTTATATGAGGTATCTAAAGTAGTCAAATTCATAGAAACAGAAAGTAGAATGGTGGTAACCGGGGCCTTTGGAAGAGTTTTGGAAAAGGGGAGTTGTTGTTTATATCTCAGATGTTTCACAACAATGTGAATATTAACTGTACACTGAAAAATTACCGAGATGGCAAATTTTATGTTTTTTTAATGGATGGAAGGAAGGAAGGAAGGAAGGAAGGAAAGAAAGATGGCCAAATGGGAAATCAAGAAACTTGAGTCTTCTAGTCCTATCTTTGCCACTGATTTTCTCAGGTCCCTTCCCTTCTTTGAGCCTTGGTCTTCTGTCAATAAAAGGAGACATAAAGGTACCTTATGATTCAAATATTCTCACTAAAGAACTAATTCTATTCTCCACTGTTAATATTTACCAGGGGTAGGACACTTTAAAGGAAATACTGCCATTTCAACCTGGAACCTCAGCCTGTCCTATTCCCCACAACACTTTCCTTTAATGAGCCATTTCTAAGAGATCAGCTCTACCATCAGAGACAAGGCATAATCTCACAAGCCCCTCCTATATGCACACTGAACTCCACAGGGAAATGACAAATTTAACGTAAGAGAACCTCCAAAAAGTAATATTATAATATATATATATAAAACAGTTCATCTCAAATCTTAAAATTTGTAAAACCAAAGGAAAAATTCTGGATAGAATTAGGATTTCTCCTGTATTTAGGTTATTGGAAATAAATCCTTTCTCCCAAGAGCTGGATCATAAAGTTTAGTTTAGATGCCTATTGGATGCTGTGAAAATGGTAATAAAGCGGGTTGATATAATGAGATCCACTTGTTGTTGGGTGGGAGAAACAGAAAGTTGGCTAACAATCTTTCTGGGATGTTTACCTGGGCGAGATGCAGTTCTCCACACAAGGGCATCCACCACAGGCCTTGCATTATCTCCCACTGTTTCACTGGAAAAGTGTTTAAAAACATAACGCTTTGTGTCAGTCAGATCTGACTGAATGCAAGTCCCAAAGCCATCATTAACTAATAACTGTGGGTCCCTTGGGAAGTTACTTAATTTCTTCCAGCCTGGTTTTTCCTTCTTTTTTTTTTTTTTTTTTTTGAGACAGAGTCTCACTCTGTTGCCTAGGCTGGAGTGCAGTGGCGCAATCTCGGCTCACTGCAACCTCCGCCTCCTGGGTTCAAGCAATTCTCCTGCCTCAGCCTCCCGAGTAGCTGGGACTACAGGCGCACGCCACCACGCCCAGCTAATTTTTGTATTTTTAGTAGAGACAGGGTTTCACCATGTTGGCCAGGATGGTCTCGATATCCTGACCTCGTGATCCACCCGCCTCGGCCTCCCAAAGTTCTGGGATTACAGGCATGAGCTACTATGCCCAGCTCCAGCCTGTTTTCTTAGCTGTGAAATTGGCAGCACAAGATCTGAAAGAACTCTAAGGATGAGCTAAAGATACCCATGTATGTGAGACAACAGGAGTGTGGTCTGGCACATAAACAAGTATTAAAATTTTTTTTAAATACATAGGATGTCAATAACCTTGAAAAAGAAGAACAAAGTTGGAGGACTTACACACTGTCTGATTTCAAGACATACAACAAAGCTACAATAACAAAGACAGTGTGGTACTTGCATAAGGGCAGACATATAGATCAATAGAATTCAGAGTCCAGAAATAAAATCTAACATTTATAGTCAACTGATTTTCAGCAAAGATGCCAAGATAATTAAATGGGGAAAAAGGAGCCTTTTCAATAAATGGAGCTGGGACAGACTATTTATTGGATATCTACATGCAAAAGAATGAAGTTGGTTCCATTCCTGGTATTATATACAAATATTGACTCAAAATGGCCTAAATGTAAGAGCTAAAGAAAATTCTTAGAAGAAAACATAGGTATAAATCTTCATGACTTTCAGGCAAAGCCTTCCTAGATATAATACCAAAAGTACAAGGGACAAAAGGAAAAACAGATAAATTGAATTTCATCAAATTAAAACTGTCTGTACTTCTAAGAATGCCATCAAGAAAGTAAAAAGACAACCCACTGAATGGGAGAAAGTATTTGCAATTTAGGGATCTGTATCTAGAATATATATAGAACTCTTAAAATTCAGTAATAAAATCAAATAACCCAAGTAAAAAATGGGCAAAGTATCTGAATAAACATTTCTCCAAAGAAAATACATAAGTGGACAATAAGCTCATGAACTCAATATCAAGAGTCATTAGGAAAATGAAAATCAAAACCACAATCAGATACTACTTAATACACATTAGGATGGCCATAATCACAAAGAGAGAAAATAACAAGTGTTGACAAGGATACTGATAAACTGGAACACTCATACACTGCTAGTGGGAATGTAAAAGGGTGCATCCGCTTTGGAAAACGGTCTGTCAGTTCCTCAAAAGGTTAAATATACTTACCATATGATCCATCAGTTCCAATCCTAGCTGTGTACCCAAGACAAATAATAAAAGCCTATATCCACACAAAAAGTTACACACAAATGTTCAAAGAAGTATTATTCATAATAGACAAAAATTGGAAACAACCCAAATGTCCATCAAGCGACGAATGGATTAAAAACTGTGGTATAGCCATACAATGGCACATTATTCAACCATATAGAGAAATGAGGTATTTGATACGTGCTACAATATGGATGAACCCTGGTTATTTTATTCTAAGGGAAAAGAAGTCAGTCACAAAAGACCACATATTATTAGTTCCATTTATATTTTATGTCCAGATTAGGCAAATCTATAGAGATTAGATTAGTGGCTGCCAAGGCTGGGAGGGTTGGGGAGAAATAGGGAGTGAATACTCATGGACACTCCTAATTAATGTGCCTCAGTTCACCCTCTCAACAGAACTGCTGGAGTTGATGAAACCACATAATTGGGCTTATAAAAAAATACAAAGAAAAAATGAGTTAGAATTAAAAATCGAGGATCTGGGTGTGTTTTAGCTTTAACTTTTATGTGTGACCATGGGCAAGTATCTGCACCTAAGTTGTAAAATGGTGATAATATCTACAATGCAGAACTAAAATGAGAATTAGAGATGATAAATGTGAAGCATTCAGCATAGTGCTTAGCACATAATGAGTAAAAGGCAATTAATTATATTAAGAGTCTCAAATCTACTAAATGCATGCTTGATGACCTTGGGCAAATCTCTTAACTTCTGAGCCTCAGATTCTACACCGTAATATGGGAGAAAAGATCTCTCCACACCTCATAAGATGTTGAGAGGACCAAATAGACCATGCGTTATTTATACCTTTGTAAACTCTAAAGAGGTACAAAGTATTATATTTCTGATCACTGATTTTAAAGATGGCAAGAAGATCCTCAAATTTAAAATCCTGTTTAAAAATGTATTCTCCTTCTTGCTAACAGCAGCATCTCCAAACGCAAAGAAGTAGGTCATTACATGTTCATTACCTGCCATTAGTAAGATGTTTATATCAAATCCATCCCTAGTCTGCAGTTCATGATCACTAAACATTTTCAAGAAAAAAGCACTTGTTACCACTACTTGCCTAGCAAGTACTTATAAAACACTATTTATACAACCCTGAGCTAAATGCAGAGGGAAATTCATGCAGAACATCAGTTTCTGCCACAAAATACACATTTTTTGTTTGTTTGGAATACAATTCTTGCACAGAGGACAACCTGAGTCAACAGATGACTAGCAAAGGACCATAGGATTTCTGAGTGTGACTTATAAAATCAGTTCTATGACTTAATATGTACAACTTCAAAAAAAAAAGTGCTAAGGTGTGTCATATAGACTTTCAGTGCTGTGTTGGAAAGAGAGTGATATCAATTAAGGTCAGAAAGCTTCCCCAAGGAAGCTGGGTGTGGTGGCATGCACCTGTAGTCCCAGCTACCGATACTGGGGAGGCTGAGCTGGGATGATCACGTGAGCCAAGGAATTCAGCCTGGGCAACACAGCAAAACCCAGTTTCAAACGAACAAACAGACAAAAAAAAAAAAAAAAGGAAAGAAAATGAAAGAAAGCTTCCTCAAGGAGATAAACTTTGAAAGACAGATGGACAGGGTAAGATCTGAATGAGCTTAGAACAGAACTAGTAGGAAATGGAATTTTTCTCATGGGAGGAAACACAGGAACAGAAGAACAGGTGAGAAAGCAGTCTGTTTTAGGGGAGGGTAAACAGTGTAAGTTTTATGTTCCAATTGGTCAGAGCTATCAACAGCGCTTTACATCTTATAGTTAAGCTAAGTATCTCTTATGATAGTGTCTTTGTGCCCTAAAATACCTAACGGCAAACAAAAAGAACAATGTTATCAGCCCTTTCCCACCCACACACAGTTTGAACCATTCCATACTACATCTTTTCAAGAATCAATGTTTTAACCCACCTCCATGTCATCTTCCTTTTTCCTCTTGCTTATTGACTCACTTCCTTCCTCATCTTCTTCTTCTTCCTCTATGATTCCTTCCACTATAGATTTTGAGCCTTCTGGACTTGTAATTCCTTCACACCTAGGTTTTTTTTAAAAAAGTGCTATTACACACCTCTTTCCAATACAGAAATTATCTCAGAGATACTCATGGCCTTTTAAAATCAAATGTTAGATAAAACTTAACAATTACCCTGGTAGGAGGATAGAATTGTGCATTTCCAGGGCTGTGGAAATCATGGCCAATGTATAACTATACTCCAAGGGCTGGTTTCCACTTCTTACACCAATACTGACCCATAGAAAGGAAACAACCATTTCCTCAGGCATGAGTTTTATTGGCATAATCTTACATAATCTTCATAACAATCCTATGAAGTAGCCCTCAAGAGTTAAGAAAATTGTCCAGTATCACCTAACTCATAAGCGGATAAGGCTGGGATGCAAATCCAGGCTCAACTAACTCCAAAACATGGTGCTTTTCTGCTGAACCCTGCTTACAGTAGAACAAGGCTCAAACAGAATGATAAAAGGCCTCACTTTTTAATTAGCTGACAGAAACCATCTGAACCAACCAATTATTGTTTTTCTCTTTCAAATGGCATCTCTAGAACAAGCAAGATAAAAAGAGACTGGGATAAATTCAAAGGTCAGCGGTAGATTTTTAAGAATGATAACTTCTCCCTCTCTGTCTTCTCTGCCAAACCTTCAGTGAAGTGTACGTTCATAAATGTTTTAAGTAGGAGTTTTATATGAAACTTGAGGTGCCAAGCTTCACATGTAGTATACAGTATAGATGTGATTAAAAAAATAGTGTAACAAAGAAACATATGCTTTGAATTTCTATAGCCTGTGGATCAGGAGGTTCAAGGCAATTTCACCTAGATCATAAGGGGCAGGAAAGTTCCAGCTATCTATGTGACAATTAACACACGTGCACATACACACTCTCCTACACATAGGTTTACTTATTAAGAGAAAATATCACTGGAAATAAAATTTTAAAATCACTCAACTATCTGCATATATGCCATGGAAAATGCTTTACTACTGATTAGACAAATTTGAGGTCTCAAAATATTTAGGAATTGAAAAGTGGGCAGTCTCACAGCTTATTCAAAGTCTTGCATTTAGAATACCTGGTATTTCTACTGAAATTGCCCTTTTAGGCATAAAACCTGTAATATAGGCCTTGAAGTCAAATACACAGGAGTTTGAATCTCAGCTATGTCATCCACGAGCTATGTGATCTTGGGAAACTACCTCTCTGAACTTCTATTTCCTCATCTATAAAGCAATACTTATCCTAAAGAGGTATTGTAGGGATTAAATGAGATAGTGCAAATGAATTAATGAATCTAGGTAATAAACATCAACGGCTCCTGACATTAAAAAAAAAGAGAGAGAGACAACCGGCTGGGCGTGGTGGCTCACGTCTGTAATCCCAGCACTTTGGGAGGCCGAGGTGGGCGGATCACAAGGTCAGGAGATAGAGACCATCCTGGCTAACACGGTGAAACCCCGTCTCTACTAAAAATACAAAAAATTAGCTGGGCATGGTGGCACTTGCCTGTAGTCCCAGCTACTCAGGAGGCTGAGGCAGGAGAATTGCTTGAACTCAGGAGGCAAAGGTTGCAGTGAGCCGAGATCGCGCCACTGCACTCCAGCCTGGGCGACCAAGTGAGACTCCGTCTCAAAAAAAAAAGACAATCAGACATTATGTACTTCCTGATGGCAGTACACAATATCACCTATTAAGTATTCTGGCAAACAAAACACCTGATCCCAATGAAGCTTCTAGGTTTAACTATTTACAGAGAATATAAGGAACAAAAGAATATGTTAAATTATGGCCTGAGAATTCAATCAGCAAATCCAGATCACCGGAAATTCTATGGGGCAAACAGGAAGGTTTCCTCAAGAAATAAATTGCAAGGAATCAAAAAAGAAAGCGAGATACAAGTGGAACCTTAGATTAAAAGATGCATGAGAGGTGTATCAACCAATTGCTATCTACTTATTTTGATTTTGACTTTAACCATAAAAAATTATTTATGAGACAATCAGAAATGTGAATATTGATTAGATATTTGATGATATTAAAGAACTGCCAATTTTTTAGGTGTAATAATGTCATTGTGATGATGTTTAGAGAGTCCTTATTTTTAGATCATATGAAAATCTTGCAGAGGAAATTATATTTGTTTGGAATTTGCTTCAAAATATTTTGTGACTGGGGAAATACATAGGGGCACAGATGAAACAAATGAGACATAGTTACGGGTTAATAACCATTGAAAATGGACAATGGGCACACTAGGGTCCATCCACTATATTACTCTTCTTTTATATGTGTGAAAATTTTCCAAAATATAAGGTTTTAAAAATGAGACAGTGCATATAAAATACCTTGCAGAGTGCCTGGCAAATAGTAAACACTCAATGCTGTCATCATTTTCATCTAACTCCTGTCTGTTCTGTTGGGCAACATTTTCTCAATTCATCAAACTTTAAGTTTATTTTGTGACTATACAGCAATATCCAGAATACCATGTAATTCCATCAGGAAAGATCAATTGGGCTAAATAATCTTAGCTCATTCTTAGAATCTGGCTTTCACTCAGGCTATGCCAGAGCTTTTTTATTATAATTCCCTCACCGCCAGGTTTGGCTTAGAAGGAGACGGTTACTAGAATGAAACTCAGCTGCCATCACTAAGGTGAACATAATTTTTCATGTCTATGCTCTGGGATTCTTTGCTTTTTAACACATACAGTTTTACTAAGGTAATCCAGTATTAAATAGAGGAGGAAAGAAAAGAAAGGGAAGGAAAGGAAAGGAAGGAGAGAAAGGAAGGAAAGCAAAAGAAAATCTGTAATTCCCTCACCATGTTTCTGCCTCTAATCAGACCAAGGGGGAAAAGTAAGACCTACTGTTTGACTTGGCCAACCATTGAGACACGGGCAGACTCCAGATTTCGAATCTGGCCACTCTTCACACTGGGAAAGAAAAGAAGGAAGAGAGAAGGGTATTCAGTATCAATTGTATCAAATCATTGGAATCAAATAAATAATTCCACAGATTATGTGAGACCTAATAAAAAGTAGTGATCACCAGTGTTTCTTACTATAGAGATTGCCACTACTACTCACCTGGCTATATGGTTATAAGCTAGGTAGTAAAAATTAAGTAAAAACACCATAGCCATTTCAATTCTGCAGCTATTTATCAAGAGGATACTAGGTGCCAGGCCTATATTCAAGAAGCACATAATTCAGTAGGGAGAAAAAGACACACATAATGTTAATATAACAAGGCAAGGTTCAAAGAAGGCACTTTATCATGAATGAGGAGGTCAGAGAAAGCTCCCCAAAGGTCACAGCTAAACTGAGGAGCATAGACAACAAGTTTAACCAGAAAATAAAAGAGGTTGGTTGGAGCATTCTAGGTAGAGGGCACATTGTGAGCAAAGGTGCTATGATGTGAAAGTCGGCAAGATAATGATTTTAGAAGACTGGATGCAAGCAGAAGCAGGGAGGAGGCAAAGGGGGAGCGTGACAGAATAGGATTGGTAGGCAGGCACCAGCTTCTCCAGGGCCTTGTGTGCTGTGTTACAGAGTTTAGGCTATCTGAATAAATTAGGCTTCTCACATTTGTCCACCTAAGTACAACTAAGGGCAAAGCAAAATGACTGCATTCCCAGGGGGAACTGGAAACACTGCCTGAAGCAAGCCACCAGGAGAAAGTATTTCTTTAAATCTCATTTCTTAGTTTAAAAAATCATTCCAAATTTTAAAGCCCCCCTCCTCAGATAATGACATTATTTCTTACTTTAATGGTAAACTGAGGCAATCAGCACTATTACCTCGTCTTTAAACTACCAACTGAATAAACAGATTCACCAATAATAATATACTCTGCCTTGATGCCTGTTTAATACATGAAATATCTCTATTCCAATGAAGGCCAACCTTGGGCACTAGTTCCCATCCCCTCTTGCCTCTGAAAAGATACTCTTTCCTTCAGTTATCCTGTCTCTCTTTTGTGTCACTTTTTTTCTCTTGTGGATGTCACAACCATACTCTACTATCCAGCCTTTAAAAACATTCCCAATGCCACATTCACTACTACCTATTACTCCATTTCTCTGCTCTCCTACATAGCAAAGCTCCTCAAAAGAGTTATCTTGCTTTCTCTACTTTGTCACCTCTCATCCTTTCCCCAACTTATATCTGATTTTTATCTCCCATTTATTTTCAGATATTTATTTTGTCAAGGTCACTTCTATCATGCCAATTCCAACAGTCATTTCTTGGTCCTCATCTTACTTGATCTCTCTGCAGCATCTGACACAGTTGTTCTCTCCCTCCTTCTAAAAACACTTGCTATACTCACCTGGTTTTCCTTTTACCTCATCAACTGTGCCTCTTCAGTTTCTTTGTTGGATCTTCCTCTTCCTCCCAAGCTCTAAATATTGTGGAATATCCCAAGACTCAGTCTGGGATCTTTTTCCTATCAATATCAAGTTCCTAGGTCTTCACATTCAATCTTTCACCTTTAAATATTAACTGTGTGATGACGATTCTCCAATTTATCTCTAGTTCAGCCTCTTCTAATCTTCTAACTAGTATATACAATTGCCTACTTAACATTTCCACTTACATATGTAATAAGCATTTGAGTTTATCCAAACAAAACTGATTATCTGCCCCTTATTTGCTCCCATATCTACTTCTTTCTGTTTTTACCATTCATCCAATTGCTTGGGCTAAAAACCTAGAAGTCATCCTTAAGTCCCTTCCTGCCCTCCCCCGTCTCTCTCCCAACAGCCAATCCATAAACCAGTCCTGTCAGCTTTACCTTGAAAATACATTAAAAAATGACTCTCTTTCTTCCTCTGTTGCCATCCTAGTCTATGTTTACCATTCTTACTCTCCTATACTACAACAGTCTCCTAACCAACTTCATACCTTATTCCCCACTTCTTCTTCTATTCGATTTTCCTCAGAACAGCCAGAGTGGTGTAACCAAGATGCAAATTTGTATCTGTCTGACCTCAAAGCCCAGGTTTCCCCTAACTTTTTTGTTTTGTTTCAAGACAAGGTCTCACTTTGTTGTTAAAGCTAAAGTGCAGTAGCATCATCATAGCTCACTGTAACCTTGAACTTCTGGGCTCAAATAATCCTCCCACCTCAGCCTCCTGAGTAGCTGGGACTACAGGCACGTGCCACCATACCCGGCTAATTAAAAAAAAAATTTTTTTTTTTTTTTTGTAGAGACAGGGTCTCACTATGTGGCCCAGGCTGGTCTCAAACTCCTGGCCTCAAGTGATATTCCTATCTCAACCTCCAAAAGCACTGGGAGTACAGGTGTGAGCCACCACATCTGGCCTAAAGCCCAGGTTCTTAATGACTATACCCCTGCTGCCTCTCATTAGGAAACCTATGAGAGCAAAAGCAGTAATTAACTGGCTTTATATCGCAACATAAAAAAAATCTGGAATAGCCAAAATGGCCATCGGTCATAAACCTGATTCAGATATCCAGCAGAATAAAAAACAAAATTACCAAATACCTCATAGTATAACAATTTTCAGGTTCAGAAAAATCAATGACTCTCATGAAACCCAGTATCTTAACATTTAACAAACAGAACCCTTATGCTATCCTGTATCTGGCAAAAGAAACAAGACTCTACCTTAAGAGAAGGCCTACCATGATACCCAGGCTGCATGAGGTACCCTTCTTCTATATCCCCTGGCTTCCTTCATTGTGTTGTGTTTATCCATTTCCTTGTTTGTATCCCCAGTTTTTTGATGATAGGAACTGAGCCTGATTCATCCCCCAGTTCTTAGATCAGGTACTGACACATCTTAGGCACTAGAAAAAAAAATTTACCGAATAAATTTTAAAGTTTGGAAACAGGGCCAGATGCAGTGGCTCATACCTATAATCCCATGACTTTGAGAGGCCGAGGCAGGCGGGCAGACTGCTTGAGTCCAGGAGTTCAAGACCAGCCTGGCCAACATGATAAAACCCTGTTGCTACAAAAAAAAAAAAAAAACCCAAAAAACAAAAATTAGCTGGGCGTCGTGGTGCACATCTGTAGTCCCAGCTACTTGGGTGGCTGAGGCAGGAGGATCGCTTGAGCCCAGAATGTCAAGGCTGCAGTGAGAGCTGTAATCACGCCACAGGACGCCAGCCTGGACAACAGAGTGACACCCGGTCTCAAAAAAAAAAAAAAAAGTATGGATAAAAGATAGATGGGCTTTAGACAACTGAGCCAACTCTAGAATAACTTTCTCACTGGTTGTTATTGTGGAAGCAGGCAGGGCACCTGAGGTACAAGCCAAGCTGGCAGCAGCTACATTCTTGATGCTGTCTGCCCAAGATAGAGAGATCTTTGATATTTCCGCAAGAACAGGAATCCTGCATCACAGTAGTGAACAGGAAGTGGTAAAAACAACTTCACCAAACACAAACATCATTCTGACAAGCCATATTCTTGCACAAGACCCTTTGTCCTAGGAAAACTCCTAGGATATATTTACCAAGTCCTAAATTTCCACTTGATATCTGATTCAGTTAACAGATATATTCTGCCTGCTAGGGCAGTCTGCCATATGCTATATGAAAGTAAAAAAGAAATACAGAATAGCTTCTTCCCTTATGATGCAGGAAGGGCATTAAGACAGACATTAATAAAAATTAATATGAGCCATATCCCTCAAGGGAGGATTGGAAAACTTAAGGGTATACAGTGCAATATAATAGAGACTTAAAGGTCTCTAGTAATTTTGCTGAAAGAGTCATCTGGGTGGTTTGGAGAACTTAAGAGAAAATGTTCTGAAGAAGGGACTGGAGATAGAGTTAGAAGAATAGGAAGGAAGATAGGATGATGAAGACATTTATCCAAAGACTGATCTCCTTGTGGGAAGGGATAGTGTTTTATTCATCTCTGAATCTTCACCTGTTAGCACAAAATAAGTGTTTAATAAATACTTTATCAAATGATTAACTGAATTAATGAATAAATTCATTCCTTTGCTTAAATGGAATTCTGACACTGATTTTTATAAAAACTACCCATTGAGTTTATTTACCCAAAATCCAAATAAACGTGAGGGAATGGAACCTATAGCCATCTTCCATTTCTCCACTATTTTATCTGAAACACAGCAAGTAAATCTAAAACCATGGAGCCTCAGAGGTGGATGAGGCCTTAGAAACCACCTAGTCTAACCTCTCACCTCAGAGGCAGAAACAGCTAGACCCAGCAGATGATCAATAATTACTAAGATTCCAGGAGGCACTACAGTGTATTGGGAAAAGAATGGGCTTCAGACAACTGAGCCAAATCTAAAATATTTTTAAATATTCAAAAAAATTCTGCTGTTTATATAATGTTTCCTCATATGTTATTACAATAAAGCATGGCAACTGAAATTCTATTCCTCGAACTTGGCGCTTGACCTAAAAAAGAAGAAAAGCTGCAATCTAACATTTAGAATAAAGGCAACAGTGGCTGGGCACTGTGGCTCATGCCTGTAACCCCAACACTTTGGGAGGCTAAAGCAGGATTACTTCAGGCCAGGAATTTGATTACTTGATTACTTGAGGCCAGGCTAAAGCAAGAGGATTACTTGAAGCCAGCCTGGGCAACATAGCAAGACCTCGTTTCTACAAAAAATTTAAAAATTAGCCAGGCTTGGTGGTGTGCACCTGTAGTCTTAGCAAATTGGGAGGCTGAGGTGGGAGGATTGCTTGAACCCAGGAGTTCAAGGTTGCAGTGAGCTAGGATCATGCTACTGCACTCCAGCCTGGGTGATAGAGTGAGGCCTTGTCTCCTAAATAAATAAATAAATAAGTAAAAAAGCAAGCAAACAAACAAATTAATTAAATAAAGGTGACAAAGATTTGTTGGTTACCTCCATTCAATAGCATTCTCCAGAGACTTGAAGGTTTTAGGACGACCCCGTAAGAAATTCTGCATGCTATTAAGTGCATCCATAGCTGTACCTGGATGTTAAACAAAAACTGTAACCACATATTTAACTTTTTCTGAGCATTTACACTCACTGAGTCAATTACTATATATCTGCTCTTGATGACAGCAGAATTTAGTGATGCTTGCAGAGAAATAAAGATGGCCCTCAATAATTTTTGCCTCTGGGGTATTCACTCCTTTATGTCATGCCCTCACACTGAAGAGGATGACTTATATTCACAAGCAGCAGTGTGACTTCTGAAGCTCGGTCAGAAAAGACATGGAAGCTTCTTTTTATATGATTAAATACAATTATGGAACATACACAGGATTGAAATAGTATGCAGTCATAAAAATATGTTAATGAAGAGTTTTTGATGACATGGAAAAACGGTTATCTTGTATAAACTTAAAAAGGATGTAAAGACAGAGGGACATATTTCAAGGTGAATGAAATCAACAATAAACTAAGACAAGGTAATAATCTACCATGGATGTCTCTTATTAAGTGAAATCCTGATTTGGTCCGTGCTAAGAAAACTCACCTTCTACAACATCAATCATGCACAGACCCAAGAGGCTTGGTACCAGGTTGGATGATGCTGTGTGGACTGCAATAGCACCACCCATGCTATGTCCAATCAGCATAATTGGAGGAGGAAGGTCCCCATACATGGCTTCAACCACATTGCCAACATCTCTGTAAAGAGAAGAAAAATATATAAGAATGCTTTCGGACAACACTATAAAAACGGTTTTCTTTCCCAGTTCCTTCCTTTGGTGTGTAACAGTGCTGGGAAACTGTAAAAGTCTATTGGGCCATCTTACAAACATACCTAGGTAAACCTTCTAACATGCCCCCAGTATCAATATGTGTAGCCACACACCTAGCTCTCCTGATAAATGGCAGGTAAAGGACTAAGAACCCAAATTACTGAATTTTCCTTTACATCACACTTTCACTGTTCCACATATGTAGTACAATTACGTAAACATATACCTTTATTTTGAACCTAAGATTCAAACTCTGGAAAAATCATTTAACTGCTCTGTTTCAATTTTCTCATCTATAAAACAAGAAAAAAAATTTATTAAGCATTATAATGTAGTAAACCTCGAGATCACAAGATGAGCCCCAGCCTCAGTTTATTTTTCACTATGTGATCTTGGATTAGTTACTTAATCTCTCAGAAACGGAGTTTCAACATTTATAAAAAAAGAGAAAAATATCACTGACTGCTCTGGATTGCTTTGAGGATTAACTGAGAGGTGAACAAAAAAACACCTTGAAAGAGTAAAATGCTTCACAAATGTTAATTATTATTTACAATTTCTCATTTGTTTGAAGGATCAACATAAATGCAAGTACAGTGCTCTGAGAAACTAGAAAGGTGTTCAGAGCTCATTTTATTGGCTTTGGTTCTAGTCTTCAATTATGAATGGATCTGTTTAACAAAGACCAATTTTAAAGCTTTGAAAATTAGAACTGAAGTATGAAGTTTGGTTTTTAATTGCATGTAGGCCTTCCTTGCTATAGCAATAGGTGGACAAGAACAGTAAGGTGTGTTTCTGGAGACCCACTGGCTCTACTGCCTTATTATAGATATATATATTTTAGGCTAGTTCTACTCCCTTCTTTTCGGAGTGGCTGGTTCAACTTCAAAAGAAAGTTTTGTCTTGCTGAGCGTCATTACATACCTTAAGCGCACTCACACAGTGTTAACCAAATATAGCAAGTGTCAATGAAGGAACACAGACTTTCATATATAATCTCTACAGTATTCATAATGGCAAAGGCAAATGTTATTAGTTCTGTAGGAATTGATTTTTAAAATCTCATACAACAATTGCAGGAGTGAATAGGGTAGCCTCGGCAATTGTAGACCATCTGAATGGGAGATAGGGAGGCCACCAAACTTTGTAAGTGAAAACAAATGGTTTAATATTCCTTCGGACTTAAATTTAAGATTAAGACAGAAAGTGAAGCAGTTCAGGCAGTCATCCAAAGCGATAACAAATAGTTAAGATGAAAAGTCCAAGCTTCTTTGACACTAGTGCTGCTTCTATACGAACACAAAATTCTCTCCGGGAGACAAAATGATATGAAGGAAAGAAAAGAGAACTAATACTTATTCAGTGCTTCTTTTTCAGTTGTGCTATAAAACTTTCTTATAACATCACCTAATGTAATCCCTCAGCAGCCCTGTCTAGAAGGGTCTGTATTAATCAATTAATCTCACTGGGTCTATAAATATATTATTGCATTTCTACCAAGTAAAAAGAGCTGCATTTTCTTACTACCTCACTGAAACATATTTTCAATGTTTCAATGGGTTAACCAATTTATGCACTATTGGAACACTAAGCATGTGGGAGTTCTTTATATTCTACTGCCCAAGGTCATCACCAAGTTCTGATTGCAAAAATTCAAAAAATTGCAACCTCAGGTATAAATGGTAAAGCCATCTCCCCTTGGCATAGGGTACTGTGAATTCAGAGTAATTTCATGAAGTCAAAACTATAATACCTTTGCCCAGAGGCCACTGGAAAATATCAGGAACAAAGACTTGATACAAGTGGTCTTGGCCCAGTGCGGTGGCTCAAGCCTGTAATCTCAGCACTTTGGGAGGCCGAGGCAGGTGGATCACGAGGTCAGGAGATCGAGACCATCCTGGCTAACATGGTGAAACCCCGTCTCTACTAAAAATACAAAAAACTAGCCGGGCGTGGTGGCGGGCGCCTGTAGTCCCCGCTACTCGGAGGCTGAGGCAAGAGAATGGTGTGAACCCGGGAGGCGGAGCTTGCAGTGAGCCGAGATCGCGCCACTGCACTCCAGCCTGGGCGACACAGCGAGACTCAGTCTCAAAAAAAACAAAAAAAGCAAACAAAAAGTGGTCTTTAGAGTAAGTAACACAGAGGAAATTATTATACATACAGTTTCTAAAAAATAAAACAGGTAGTATTCCAAAGCTAATTCTGCATATTAAAATAACAGACCAGAAAAAATTATATCCTCAATTAATCTAAAACAACACTGGATATAATTTTGGGGGCAAACTTTTTTTTTTTAAAGAAAAGACTAAAGTTTAAAACATGTTTATATTAAATATCAACATGTAATTTCCAGAATAATTCTTGAACAATTCCAAGAAACTTTCGGTTGCTAACACACAAATAATGAGTAAAATAAAAGGATGCTATGGACGACTATCTAAGTCCAATTCTCCTTAAAATACACATTAACTGAATTGAAGGGGTTCTGCAGTATCCGCCTCATGCACAAAGGTAGAGAGGTCTGAAACACACCAACTGAACATCGTGTCTGAGCTTAGGAAAGGCATATTTACCCAGGTAGAAGGTAGTTACGATTAATCACTTGATCATCTACCACCAAGAAAAATGTATTGTTATTAAAATCAAGCAGAGCATTCAGTCAACAAGTACCTTACTTGAGGTAAGTCCTGAAAATCCAGAGAAATACAATAAAGATGAAGTAGCAAGGGTTACCTACAAATCCAGACTGTAACTGGATGTATCACAATTTTGGTGGATGCTTTTTAAAGGGATTCTGTCATATTTTAATGCTAGGTTACTTTTCTGAGAAGCATTACTGTGTATCACAGAAACTGGAATATCAGAATGACCCAAGCTCAAATTTGGCTTTTTCACATACTTTCTTATGGAGTATTTAGGTTCCGCAGTTGATAGTAAGTATGCCTATTTTGAGATTTTTTTTTTCCACAGAGTAACTGAATTCAGAAATCACATAAATGTTTGACTGCTTGGATAATTTCAGCAAGAATCCAGTTTGTTCGCCCTTTTGATTCTTGGTCATCATCTTCATCTACTGTGGATGATTTTTATTATTAAAAAAATTTTTTGGTGCCAGTTAACAACTTACTACCTCAACTCCAATTCATCCTTCATTGCCTGCTCTACAAAAACAGACGTGAGTGAGGCCTTTAAATATTTTTCCCTTGCCAGTAGGCATGATGTTAAGCTATGTTAATGGAGGGTGCTAGAGAAACACAGAACTTCCCCCAGTATCCAACTCCTGCCAATTCCTGCACAATTCCTCCTGCACAAATGGCTTCTCCAGTACTCTAGCCCTCCCCCACCCAGTGTTTTTGTAGACAAGTGCCTCTGGTGAGATACCAGAGAATAGCTTTCCCTGTACCTTAGAGGGCAGAATTCTGTCAGGTTCCAAAGGACAGATTTTCAGCAAGTTCTAACCTTCGGTAAGCCATGGTTGTGCATTCTCCAACAAGGTCTGGATCTCAACCCTGGGTGTACTCCCTCAGCCCAAGGGAGGAGTGGTTGTTCCTTATATCTGCTTTCCTATATTATTAAGAGTTTTCTTTACTTCTTACTACCAATCTCTCATTCCAATCCCCTGTTATTGTGAATAATTATTTATATTCAACTTTACTTATACAATTTACTATGTTGTTTCTCTCTCCTGATGAGCCCTAGACTGAAACATTATTATTTAGTCCATGTTTCCTTAAGGTTCTCAATTAATTCTTCAATTTCCTCTAGAATGTTAACCAAGGCATCATCATCAATTTGTCTGACTGCCTGGACACTCAGATGATGTATTTCACTTTTTTGTTAAAAGTCAAGAAACCCTTTACTTCCTTAAAAATCATTCACAAATCTTCCTAGAGGTATCACTAACAGGCTTGACTGTTTAAGGATATATTGCTCTCATATTAACAAAGGCAGTAGGAATAATTGGGGGAACAGATTCTTACCTCTCTTTTCATAGTTTTTAAGGCATATGTTCATTGAGTGGAATGATACTCATACTATACACATTATTTCTTTCTCTCTCTCTCTAACAAGGACTATAGTTGAATGACCTTAATTCAATCTACTGACTGTGTGATTTCATACAGTTATTCAACCTATATGAGCCAGTTTCCCCATCTGTAAAAGGATATGTCTGTATTACAGAGTTAATAATGAGGATTAATTTCAATAAATGATTACACAAAATAAGTTAATGATTATTAATAAATGCTTAGTTTATACTTTAATGAAAGCTGGCTGATAAAAAGTACACAAATAACACCTACTATAATAATAAAACAACTATCTCCAGGTAGACAGTAAAAAAATGATAGTATTAAAATTATTGCTACATCAGTTTGGGCTCTGAAGGAAAAAGTTTATTCTTAAATTAAAGCTGCTAAAGTAAAAGAGGGCAAGATATTTTTGGCCAAAGTGACCAAATACCTGAGAGAGTATGTAATAAAGCAGAATGGCTAGAAGAATCCTATTTATGCTATAGGTCAGTGATTCCCAAACAACAGTCATTGAACTGGCTCCATCAGATTCCTATATAGAGCTTTATCAAAATATAAATGTCCAGACCCCACGGCTAGAAGTAGGTCTGGGGTAGGGTCAAGTCATCTGTATGTCTCGTAACTTCTCAAGTGATTCTGATGAGTGAGCACTTTTGAGAGTCACTGTATATGCTACATTCATTTTTTACTTTAGGCCCAGGGTATAACTGTCATTTTTTTAATATCATGTTCTCATCTTTCTATGACATAAGACGAATATGCACAGGATACCTGAAGGAGAAACTCTCAAGGCCTCTTGCATACAACTACTTTTCCAAGCATAAGTCCATAATAGGTATCCAGATTCAATGCAATTCCATCAACAGAAGAAAACTTTCAAAAGCCTTCACAAACTAAACTGTGCCTTGAAGAATTTTCATGTGCTTTATATGATGATCATTGCATTGGACATACCAAGAAAGATGCAGGTTTCTTTCAAGATTAAATAGTAAGGAGAAACCAAAAGTAGAGGAGAGAGAACAGAAGTAAAATGTTCCTTGTGGTAATTATTCTCCAACAATCTCATCAGGAAAGTGATAAAGTTATAGTACTATTTATAATAGTGATGGGAGACAGGCAACGTGTAAGAAATATCTGGTTACTTACTTTGCCATTGTTTCTGCAGACAGATCTTCAGGATTCTTGACTTTTGTTTCACCTAAAATGAAAATAGTTTTAAAATAAAATTCCCACAGACAGGAATTATAAAAGCAGAAGAATTCTCTTTTAAAAATACCATCTTTGGACAATGGATTAAGGACTTTATAATTTTACACAATGAGTTTAGCAAGGATTTTCTACAGACAAATCTTTACAGTTATCCTAAGAAGGATAATTACAGTAGCCTAGCAAAGATTTATCCACATTCCTTATACATCAGCATAAGAATCTGGTTACTTTAAAGGACAAAAATAAATACTATAAATAAAACTTTAATATATATACATACACATACATTTGTAAAGACTAGAAGCTACGACTTCCTTCAAAATGCCCAAATCGAGCTGGGCACAGTGGCTCACACCTGCTATGCTAGCACTCTGGGAGGCAGAGGTGAATGAATCACTTGAGGTCAAGAGTTCGATACCAGCCTGGCCAACATGTGAAATCCTGTCGCTACTAAAAATACAAAAATTAGCTGGGCATGGTGGCGCACACCTGTAATCCCAGCTACTAGGGAGACTGAAGCAGGAGAATTGCCTGAACCCAGGAGGCAGAGGTTGCAGTGAGCTGAGATTGTGTCACTGCACTCCAGCCTGAGTGACAGAATGAGACTCCATCTCCAAAAAAAAAAAAAAAAAAAAAAAAAAAAAAAAGCCCAAATGGAATAGACAAGGTAATTTTATGGCCATGTTGAAATTTCTAATAGTTACGACTATTCAAAGGGGCTTGATGACTATAATCCAGTAAATGGCTAATTAAGAACTTTACTCACCATGACTTCGCAGATCCAAAGCCACAATCCTACACTGAACTCTACTAATAATCGCTGCCTAGGAGAAAAAGGAAAAGGAAAAGTAGTTAAGACACATCTAGGATAACAAATTTTGCCCAATTCCCAATGATAACTTTGTAAAATGAACTACCATCAGAATTCAAAGGACCCAAGAGAATCAAAAGACTTTCTACTTTTAAGCAAAATGAAAGAATGATGATTTTCTACTAGTTTTGGCATATATTGTGGTTCTGTCCCAACTTCAAAATATGGCTTTCTCTACTTAAATCCCTCTTTCAATCTTAATTCTTCCTATCCTTTCTTGACACACACAGTTAAGAGCCTTTAGACAATGACCCTCTGAGCTCTGGTTTTCATCTATATTCTTTGGATATCTTTTCCTTACTCTGGAGAGAGAATCCCTTAAATAAGGATGGTGAGTCAGTTTATATCTTGGCTCAGGACATCACAGAAACATGACATTCAAATCATGAAATTTGCTGAAAGTAGAAGTCACGGAAGAGTCTTCTTAAGATTCACTTAAGACAGATACTGTAGAACATACAAGTTTGTGTTCCTGTTAAAAATGTATTGAAAAAGAAATCATAATATCACGGGGGAGGTACAATTTTAGAGGTTGAAAGAAATCTGAAATAATTGGGGATCTTCTTCCTCAACTAAATTGGATTCTTTGACAATAATATATCACAATTAGGGCTACCAAATGTCAACAAATTTTAACTTTTAAAAATAAAATAAGAGAACTGTCTAGTCTAACCATCACATTTTATGAATGAGAAAACTGAGGCCAAGAGAAAGAAAATTATTTGCCCACGGTCACGTAACAAATAAAAAGTAAAAACAGAACTAGACCCAAAGTAAGTTACCAATATAAAAGTAAAAGTAAATCACAAAACAAGTCAGATTACGTCATATTTTTAAAATCCCATAGAAAATCAAGTCTGATTCTATTCCTATTACTCTAACGAATACCGTTTAAAGACAACAATGGAATGAAATTCTACTATACTTTGCTGTTTGTTCCTGAAAGCTATTTGCTAATTTACAGGAGTTATTTAGTGACAGTAAAGCCTTCAATGACAAAAACAAATCCATATGTTAGAAATAAAATTAAGTGGCAAAGATAGTATTAATTTGCTTGATTTCTGTAGATAATAGAACCAGGTTTATAAAACATAAACAAAATATATATTTGAAATTCTAGGCTTTAACTTGAAAGCAATGATTTACAATCATAGGTGCCTGTCAGAAAATCCCTACAAATATTAAAAACAAAATTTTCATTTATTTATTTAACAAATCTTTCTAATAAAAATCTGGCACCAATGGAGTAATGGAGTTACAGGAGGGAAAAATACTGGCAATACTCCTGCTCTCATGGTATCTACATTCTACTATGGTGGAGGAAGACTAGAAAAAAATAAACGAGCAAAGTAAATTCACAGACTAACACGTGCTTTAAAGATAATAAAAAAGTGTCAGAGCAGATCTATGGTAGCTACTCCAGATCTTGCCACAAATAGTACAACTTTGCTACTTCTGAAATGGATGAGTGGAAAGCAGCTATTTAAGAACTAGACTTAACCAACCATTTTCTCACTAGAATATTATGGTGTTTAGCAGTAACTACAACAATAGCAGTAGCAGCTAATGTCTACTAAATCTATGTGCCAGTCAGCAATCTAAATGCTTCAAATGAATTACCTAACTTTCTCCTCACAACTCTTTACTACCTAGACATAATTTTCAGCATTTTACAGATGAGGGCATTTTACAGAGAGATTACATAACTTGCCCAAGGCTAAATAACTAATAAGTGACAGAGACAATTTTCAAATCCAAGCTGCCTGGTTCCAGGTGGTTTTCAACCCTGGCTACATAACAGAATCACCTAAATACTACCGCCCAGGTACAAACCCACCAGAAATTCTGATTCAAGTGAACTGGGTTAGGGGCCAAAGTTATTTATACATTTTAGACTTCTCCAGGTGATTCTAATGTATACCCAAAATGAAGGCCTACTATCCTAACCCTAGACTAAAGAACAAGAGACAAGACTGGAAGATGTGGGTAGTAATAACATGCTTCTGTATCACTTTGTAATCCCACCAGATTATCTCAGATAATCTCATATTATCTTCTTAAGAAGTCGGCTGGGAAAATACTAGTACAGTTTTTTTGGCTGACAAAACAGGTTCTTAGAGGTTTATCAAGTATTGGTGAAAGTATGGAGAAATAGGTATCCCCACAAATACATGATATCCTCAAACTTAATTAGACACATGTCACATCGCTTGGTTTATTGCAGCACTATTCACAATAGCAAAGACGTTGGAATCAACCCAATGTCCATCAGGTGACAGATTGGATTAAGAAAATGTGGCACATTACACCATGGAATACTATGCAGCATAAAAAGATGATGAGTTTGTGTCCTTTGTAGGGACATGGATGCAGCTGGAAACCATCATCTCAGCAAACTATCACAAGAACAGGAAAACCCAAACACCGCATGTTCTCACTCATAGGTGGGAACTGAACAATGAGATCACTTGGACTCAGGAAGGGGAACATCACACACGCGGGGCTATCATGGAGGGGAGGGGAGGATTGCATTGGGAGTTATACCTGATGTAAATGACGAGTTGATGGGTGCAGACACCAACATGGCACAAAGTATACATATGTAAGAAACCTGCACCGTTATGCACATGTACCCTACAACTTAAGTATAATAATAAAAAAAA